CCCATGCGGCACCCCTACCAACAACGCTGCTACTACAACCGCCGCCCCCACCACTGCTGCCACCACCACTGCCACCACTGCTGCCGCCACGCACGCCGCAACCACCACCACCACCACCGCCGCCGCCACCACCGCCACCACCACCACGACGACGACGACGACGACGACCACGACGACGATTACTACCACTACCACCACTACTGCCACCACCACCACTACGCATACGACTGCTACCCCGACTACCACCACCACTGCCACTTCTTCTTTTACTGCTGCTACTACTACTACTACCACCACTACTACTACTACTACTACTACTACTACTACTACTACCACTACTACTACTACTACTACTACTACTACTACTACTACTACTACTACTACTACTACTACTACTACTACTACTTTACTACTACTACTACTACTACTACTACTACTACTACTACTACTACTACTACTACTACTACTACTACTACTACTACTACGACTACAACTACTACTGCTACTACTACTACTACGACAACAAACAAAACAACTACCGACTCAATTATAACAAATCCTGAATGAAAACTAATGGCCTACTACAACTACACTGACCACGGCTACTACCACACGGCCACTGCCACTACTACAAACCACTGACTACACCACTACTACTACCACTACTCAATACTACTAACTACTACTTACTCCCACTACTACCTACTCCTACTAATACTGCGGGGGTAGGGGGGGGGGGTACTACGACGACGAGGACGGAACGACGACTTACTAACTACACTACTACGACGCTGCTGAACCAACTACTTATACCGCCTACCACTACCACCAACCACCACCACCAGCACCACCACCACACCAATACTATACTACTACTACTAACTTTCACATTAACAACTACTTCGAATACTACTGCCTACTACTAATGCCACTACCACCCACCTCTACTACAAACACTAATACGCTTTACTACTACTTAATCTACTTAATAGAACTACTACTACTAACTACTACTACTACGTTACATGACGTATACTAATCACTACTACGACTACGACTGCGAGACGTACGATACGAAATGAGACTACGACTACGACTACGACACGACTGCGACTACCATTACTACTACTACCTACTACTCTACTATCTACTTACTACTAAATACTACTACTACGACGACCACCTACGACTACTAATATCGGCTGCCTACTAACTATTACCACCACCGCGTACTACCACACCACCACCACCACCACCACCACCAGCACCACCACCACCACCACCTACTACTACAACCCGGACTACTACTACTACTACCTACTACTGATACTACAGTACTACTACTTTACTACCTAACTCCGAAGTAAATCCACCCTCACACAACACTACTACTACTACTACTACTACTACTACTACTACTACTACTACTACTAACACTACTACTAACACTACTACTAACACTACCACTACCACTGCTACGACTACTACTACTACTACTACTACTACTACTACTACTACTACTACTACTACTACTACTACTACGACGACGACGACTACAGGGTCGGCCCGAGGCAAGCCTGGATGGCCCCAGGTGTAGGACTGAGGTGGGCCAAAAGGGAAGCCCCAGGGTGATCCTCAAGTAAACCCAAGTGCGGGCCCACAGGGAGACAGTGAAGGAACAACTCCGGGAAGGCCCTGGGGAAGCCTGGCGCAAGCCTAAGGGTGAGCTCTGAGGTTGCACGTGGAGACTGGCATGGGGGGGGGGGTCCTTGGGGATGGCCTACGGAAGCCTCGGGGTAAGCCAGGGGGAATGCCCCAGAGACCCAGGGCCACAGCCTACGGGCATGGCTGCGGCGGGCTTGGCGGTCATTCTTGTGGGCAAGCCAGGGAGCCAGGGGGGCGCGCGCAGACATGGGGGGCGCGGGGGGCGTAGGGGGCACGGGAGGCAGATGGGGCATGGAGGAGGCGATGGGCCACACGGGGGCACAGGGGGCTTGAAAGGGCCAGGTGGCCAGGCGCACAAAGGACGAAAGTCTAGCTCAAGCGAACGCCCCGCCACTCGGGAGGGACGTTGCCGCCGAGCACGGCCAGGTCTCCGCGCTGCCATGGCGGGTGTCTGGGCTGCGGGGGGCCCACCGGGGCGGGCGGCTCCGGCGCGCGCTGGGCCCGCTCCTCCACGACGAGGTGATGGAAGCGCGACCGCGCGTTCCACACTGGGTCCCGTCGCGGGTCGGGGGCGCCAGGCGGCAGACCCCGGGGCGGCGCGCAGCGCGCCGTGCGCCGAGCGCCGAAGCCGCCGGAAGGGGGGCGGGGCTTCGGGGGGCGGCGCAGGGCCCGGCCGCCGCCGCTTCGCGGCGGACGCGCTGGCTGCCGTCCTGGCCTTCGTCCGCGCGCGCGCGCGGCGGGCGGCGCGCTCGGCCGCCAGGGCGAGCAGCCTGTCCCGCCGGGCGTAGCCGTCGCCCGCGGGGGCCCCTGGTGGGGCTGGGCCCACCAGCGCGAAGTCGGCCTGGCGCCTCCGCCGCAGCTCCCGCAGCGTCTCGCCCAGGTAGCTGAGCAGGTTGGCGGAGGGCCCGGCCAGGTAGGCCCACTGGTGGACGAGGACCGCCTGAGACACCGCATCCGCCAGGGACGTGTTCACGCCCCTGTGGGACCCGCCCCGGCGGAGGTTGCGCCAGTGCCCGTCGACTGTTTGGGTGCCCCCCTTCCGCCACGTCCACTCGCCCAGCTGCCCGTCGGGGCCGTGCCACTGGCCCGCGCGCGGGTCCGCCTGCGC